CTCACATTCTTTGTGTTGACTTCATAACGTGACCACATCCAGCTGAAGTGAGCTGGGAACTGTAGTCTAAATATGTGCCTCAGAAGAAGAAATTGTGCACATCTGGCAATGTTTTCAGTTATTTAGAAGTAGGTAAGGATTAGACCTCTCCTCTTTGACAAGCATACTGGCAACAGTGTTCCTACATTTGTACTTAATAGCAAACAAGCCCCAATAATCATAGTGATTTTCTTTTTTTAAAAAGATGTATTTATTTGAAAGTCAGAATTAGAATGAGGGAGAGGGGGAGGGAGAGAGATAAAAAGAGAGAGATTGAGAGAGATTGAGAGATTTAGATTGATTTTCCAACCCCTGGTTCACACTCCCCAGATGATCACAACAGCCAGTGCTGGGCCAGGTCGAAGTCAGGAGCTTGGAATTCATCTGGATTTCCAACATGGGTGGCAGGGGCCCAAATACTTGGGCCATCTTCCACGGCTTTTCCTAAGCCATTAGCAGGGAGCTGGATAGGAAGTGGAGCAGCCAGTGTACAAGCCATTGCCCATAGGGTTGCTGGCATTGCAGGTGGCAGCTTTACCCACTATGCCACAAAACACTGACCCCATGATTTTTCTTTAATTTTCTTTTTAATTTAAGAGCAAGAGAGAGAAAACACTCCCATCTACTGGTTCACTCCCCAAATGTGTGCTTTGGCCCCTGACAGTCAGGAACTGAATCTGTGTCTTCCACATGGGTGGCAGGAACCCAGCTACTTGAGCCATCACTGCTGTACTGCTGCCTTCCCCAGGGTCTGTCTGTGTTGGGGGGAAGCTGGAGTCAGGAGTCAGAAGCCAGAAGCGAAACCAAACCAAACCCAGGCACTCCTGTGTTGCACGTGGTCATGTTGACCACTAGACCAATCCCTGTCCCAATTGCAGTGTTTTTTTCTGAAGCACGTCTAAGTGCTTCAGTCACATCTACATGAGTCTTTTTGGAGAAGCACAGCACTCTTCTTGGGGGCTTCTTTCAGATAAGCTGAGGTAGAACCAGGCAACCAAAGTCCTGTGCATCAGACCTGCGTATGCCACTGTTTTGGGGGTCAAACTCAAGAACTGTTGCAAAGGGCGTGTTCTCCATGGCACTCTAGATTCTTCCACACCCTGTGTCATGTGTGCACAGATTGAAGAATGCCTCTAGACTCCAGCCAGTCCATGCGTCTTGAGCATCAGTAATTTACTAATAAAAACTCAAAACCTCTTAAACGAGGTTTGCAGCTGTAAAAACTTCTGAGATTAGTGTAGACATAAAAATAACAAAACAGATCTGCAGCAGCCATCCTGGAGTGTGGCCTTTGGATGAAATGCTAGCTAACCGTGGTTGAAGTGTGTATTCCTAGTTAGAACAACAGTCCCTTCTCTGGTATCAGCAGATAACTCATACAAACATCTCATACTCCCCATGCAGAAACATGTTTATTATAGGCAACATAACATTTTGAAAAGTAAATTTAGCCTTTTAATTCAGATATCCCTCTGACAGAGAGGCTCACCTGGGGAGGTTACATTGTAATAAACCACTCATTTATAATATGGTGTTTTAACATGTAATCATTGCTTGAAATACGGAATGTTGATCAGAAGCCAAGAAGCTGTGCTGTGCTATCTGGAAGTTGTAAATTTCTGCCACCAGGTTTTTCCCCTGCAAAGACTGATTGGGGACAATGACTTCCTGATTCAGTAACCTTCAGAAAAGAAAGTAATGAAATGTTAACATTCTTCTGAGACTTTGCTTTTGGAAAACATCCAGAAGCCAATGTGGGCTGATTGATCATCTCAGTGGGGGTGTCCTCCGGGTGGTTTTGTACAAAATTCTTGTATTTATGTTGTGCCACAGGAGCTGCACCTCCCCCAGGATATGGGAAAGATCTGTTGTGGATGTTATTCATACCTTGTTTCTGGAAAACAGAAAATCCCTGTCTTTCACAATGGTCTTTTGGGATTTGTGCATCATTTTGTGGGTGGGGGGAAGGGAACAGTTCCCCTGAAATGATACTTGAAATGTTTTTAGATCCTAGCCAAAAGATCCATTTCTAAGTTTTAAAACTGTCAGGGATGATGGTGTCCCGAAGGAGTTATGGAGACCACCTTATTTGTGCTTGGGGGCTGCTATCTTCATTTGTTGAGTTTTCACCATGGCAATGGGAATAAAATTTTCAATGTTCTGAGCTCTTCTGCATTCTTTAGTAAGCTTGCGTAATACTGCTGGGGACAAAGCAGTTGCCTGCTGAAAGCCAAATGAATGAATAAATTTGGCCTCAGGATTTTTAAACTGTCGTGAAAGAGTTTTTGTTTCTTAACTTTTTTTTTCAAATCACAAATAGGACATTTTTTCTTCAAAGGATATCCCTATTATCCAAAATTGATATAGACAATTTTAGCATACAAAAGCTTTAGATAGAATACTTGACTAATATGAGTCTAGATATTCTTTTTAGAATTTTAACAGCTCTCCTTTTATTTTTGAAAGAATTATTTATTTATTTGAAGGGCACACTTACAGAAAGAAAGAAAGAGAGCAAGAAAGAGATTTTCCATCCTCTGGTTTACTCCCAAAATGGTTGTAATAACCAGGGGGCTGGGCCAGGATAAAGCCAGGAACCAAAAACTCCATGTGGGTTTCTCCCACATGGATGGCAGGGGCTCAATTACATGAGGCATCACTCACTGCCTTCCCAGGCTCATTAACAGGGAGCTGAGCCAGGCTGAAACTGGGAACGTAGAACACAGTCAAGATCTTCCACATGGATGGTGTGGACCCAAGTACTTAGCTGTCACCTACTGCCTCCCAGGATGCACATTGGCAGAGCCAGGTCACAAATTCAGGTTCTCCAATATGGGATGAAGGTGTCTGAAGCAGTAATGTAATCACTGCGCCAGGTGCCTACCCCATCTGTTTCCTTTTCCTAATTTTGATATGCAGGGTGTCCTTGTGATAGGCATTAACTTTTTATCCTGGTTCACTAGTATTTGAACTTGACTTTTATTCAATCACTTAAGCCATAACAGCTTGATCTGGACAGAGGGTTAATGGTGAGGAATAAAGGTCTATTTTGTGTTTGGTGACAAATATAAGAAAGCATCACAACAATAATAGAATGGGCCCAAGTTCTGGGAGGATGCATTATTTATTAAAGCATTTTAATTTCCTGTAATGAAAGCAAGAGAATCTGCATATTTATGATAGGTCATGTGCAAACAGTAATCCTGAAAGATCTGTATAAGGATCAAATTCATTACACATAATTAAAGTGATTATAACAGGAACTTTGTAACATTGTTTTTAATCTGAAATGAAATGATCTCTTCATTCCTATGGAATAACTCCGTGGCCTTATGGTTTGGCAGTCTGAGCTAAGTGCATTAGGGCAATAATGTTTGGTCTACAAGTTAGACCACTAAGATAGTATCATAAATAAAAAGCAGTTTCCATTTACTGACCTAGATTTACCTATATCTCAACTATTCCTCAGCATAATTGAATGGTTTATTCAATAAAATTTGAGATTTTTCATCATGCGTATATATATATATATCACTTGTACTTAATTTCCATTGTATTTTAAAGAGAATTTATGATAGCTGAATATAAGCATCCTGCTTTATACTACAAGAGGTGCAAAGATGAAGTCTCTGGCAGCCATTCCGGCTACTCGGTAATTGTGCACTAGGAAAGCACGTTGCTGAACACGGTGTCCCAGACAGGCGTCTGCTGCCTTCCATTAGTTCCCAGGGAGAAAGGGCCCCTTTTCCTTCCCAAGAGAATCACTGCTATTTATCTGACTTGAAGAATTAAGTTTTTATGTATTCATTGATGGCTAACTAAGTCGGTCAGCTTTTACAATGTGTTTCTTGAAAAAGACATTGATGGGCCATAAATTAGTTGTTATTAATAATCATGTGCAAAAGTATATCTCCTGTGTAGTTGTGTATATGGATGGCTCAGGGACTATAAAGGCAAAACACCCTTTTAAACAAATATTTACTGTGTAGCAGAGTACTACTTTCATAGCTCATTACTTTTAACTCCTATTTGCAGCACAGATCTTTCTTCCAATTACAAGCAGATATCTTCAAAGGCATTTTCAAGTCATTTTCCTTAGCAAATATCAACTTTTGCTGACATGACCTAATTCTTCCCATTCTTACTTTCTAAATTCTTTGGTCTGTGCCACATTTGGCAGTTACCTGGGGAGGATCAAGAAAAGTTGGTGGGGGTGTGCACTGTTGCATAGTAGGCTTAGCCTCTGCCTGTAGCACAGGCATTACATATGATGGCCGGTTAATGTCAGCTCTATTCAAAAGATGGCTGCTGCACCCACATGGGAGACCTGGAAGAAGCTCCTGGCTCCTGGCTTCTGATCAGCTCAGCTCTGGCCATTTTGGCCATTTGGGTGAACCAGCTAATGGAAGACCTTTTCCTCTGTCTCTCCCTCTCTGTAACTCTGCCTCTCGAATAAATAATAAATCTTAAAAACAAGAAAAGTTGGTTAAGATGTTTGTAGCTAAAATTCTAGAAAATAGTAAACTCATGGGCTATAGATCAATGCCTTAGGCTACATCAAGGTGAACTCCATGTTCAGAAATAGCTGAATGCGGGCTACTCACAGAGACCTGGTTTGCAGGAATCGAATTCTACTCCAGCAATTGTTTCAAGGCAGAGCCCCTAGAATAGTATTGGAGAGACTCAGAAAATCATGCGGTCAGTACCCAGTTTTTTTAAAAGGAGAGAGAACCCATGGAATCCAATAAAGAAAGAAATTATCTATAAAACACAAATAAATATAATTGAAATGGTAAAGTGTGTTAGCTGAAAATTTCTTGTGAGTTAACAAAATTATGTTAGTAAAGGAAGAGTAAAGATATGAATTTATCTATACTGCACACTGCAATAAAAATGGATAATTGATTTTTATGTTGAACTTGGGTTTTTTGTTTTGTTTTGTTTTGTTTTGTTTTTGACAGAGAGAGAGACGGAGAGAAAGGTCTTCCTTCCATTGGTTCACCCCCCAAATGGCTGCCACGGCTGGCGCACTGTGCAGATCCGAAGCCAGGAGCCAGGTGCTTCCTCCTGGCCTCCCATGCAGGTGCAGGGGCCCAAGCACTTGGGCCATCCTCCACTGCCTTCCTGGGCCACAGCAGAGAGCTGGACTGGAAGAGGAGCAACTGGGACAGAACCGGCACCCCAACTGGGACTAGAACCTGGAGTGCTGGCGCCACAGGCAGGGGATTAGCCTAATGAGCCGCAGCATCAGCCGAACTTGGGGTTTTATGTTGAACTCTTCAAAGTTTATATTACTTATAACTTAAGATCCACTTTGTTTAATTTCTATTGTTACATTTACAAGAACTCCACACACACAAATAAAGATTTTTTAATTTATTTATTTGAAAAGGAGAGAGTGTGAGATCTTCCATCTGCTGGTTCACTCCCCAGATGGCTGCAATGGCCAGAGCTGAGCCGATTCGAAGCCAGGAGCCAGGAACTTGTGGGTCTCCCACGTAGGTTCAGGGGCCCAAGGACTTGGGCTATCCTCTGCTGCTTTCCCAGGCACATTAGCAGGGAGCTGGATCAGAAGTGGAGCAACTAGGGCTCAAACTGATGCCCATATGGGATGCCAACACTGGAGGCCAGGGTTTTAACGTACTGCACCACAGCGCCAGCTTCTACTTATATATTTTGGTCAGATGTGTTTGTACTCAAACAGTTGAGGAAATTGAACATAGTAAATTTATAAATGAAGTTCAGAATGTTTCAGGAGGGTGACTGAATTAATAAACGGATCAAATCTTTGACCAAAGATCACCTAAAAGGAATTCTCAATTTCAAAGAGAATAAAAAGATGTTATAAATTAGACTTAGAGATTTTGAGAAATTATTTTTTAAAATAACTTATATGTAATCTTAACTGTCCTGATTCTTTTTCAAATCATATCTTCTTTATTGCAAAAGAAAGCAAGCAACCAGACAAGATTTAACATAACAGTCTGAAGCCCAGGTCAGGAAAGGGTATCTGATCTTTTCTAAGGCACAGAACCAAACCATGGAGCAAACTGCACTGTGACTGCCTTATTGTTATTTCTCATTCATCCTGAGCTCTAGGGAGCCCAGTTTCAATACAGAATAGTAAATTAATGTCACACACACCCATGAGGCCTCTTCAATGTTGCCCATTGCAAATATAGCTTGGACACAGTCCATCCTTTGCTTTGATAGGATGAGTGCTGCCAGTAACTGAGATTTAGCTTAGAGAAAGGGCTGTGGTTGACCTCTCAACTTGGACCAACCTTGCATGTCCTTCCTTAGTGCTTTTACCACATGCCTCTTTCCACCGTGGAGCTCCCTAGAAGGTACAGTCCACCCTGTTTCTCTGATGTTGCTTGTGAGCATTACCTTAATTTGTAGCTCCTGCTTATCTTTGGAGGCAAAAGTGCCTGAGAGGTTTGTTGTTTTGTTTTGTTTTTGTTTTTTGTTTTTTTTTGCTTTTTTTTTTTTTTTGGTCTGTTGTCAGCTTCTAGAAATTAGTAACACTTATTGTGTTCTGTCCCTCCAAAATCTGGATTTCTGCTCAGAAGTCCTCTATTTATTCCTGGTCCAGGAATTGTGGTTTATAGAGACAGCCCAGAAAATGTCTACATCTCCAGGATTTCGGTGGGAGATCAGAATGGGAAGAGAGCAAATATTTTAGAGCTCACAAACAAATCTGTGTCTATAGGAAAAACTCTATGATAGATCCAGCTAATCATTTAAATATTACCTCAAATGCTTGGCCAAAATTAAATGAAGATGACAACTAGTTTCCAAATTGGAGCTATTTCTTTCATGTTTTGCAAGTGAATCCGATTTTCTGACTTAGATAGCAAAAGAACTCTGACATAAGGTGAATGTTGGATAAAGTTAAGGAAAACTTGGTGGGTAGTAAAGTTCAAACAAGTTCACTCATATGACGATAGTAGCAAGAAGTTCACAGTAGGTGAGAGAAAGGCACTTCTTTATCACCTGGCTCCTGAGTTATACAACATAGATTTCAAACAAAATTCCGCCACATATGAGATAGGTTCAAAAAGCTCACAGAAATGCATATTATGAAGAAACTGCATGAACTTCACATTTTTGTATCAAAATAGACATCTTTTAATTGCACTTTTCCACAGACTTTTTCAAGTAGGCTTGTATTTATTTTGCCCTTACAAAACAGGCACAAAGCAGTTCATGTACTCTGTTTTTAAAGCCCAAGAATTCTGGCTCTCTCTTACTTCCAGTGATGCTGACCATGTCTTATATGAAAGACTTACTTGAAACAGAAATAACTGCAACTACCAGACAGGATTCCAGGCCTTCTGCTTGGTGTTATAAATCAGAACTCCTAAACCTATTGCTGGGCACAGATCCAGCTAGGGAGCAAGCCACGGGCCCCCTTTCTCCAAGAGGTGTAGGATTCAAGGCTACAGAATACAGGATACAGGCCTGGCCGGATTTATACACCCTTGTACAATGGTGGGGCTGAAGCGAACATATTTTCACTTAGCACATACTTGAATATCATAAGTGTCACCTAAGGAGATCATATTATTACATTAGTCATGCTAATTAACAAAACTGCTTTCACTAATAAAAACCCATTGTTGATTTTTATTTGCTATTGGCAGAGTTTCTGCTCTTGATTGATATACAGACAATAGAAGGGCTTGTAGGAGCTGCCTCTGGAACGTGGCTCTTTGACTGAATGCTACCTTGCTATCCCAGCTTTCTTCATAGTGTGTTAGTTTGTTGACTCCTGGGCATGAAAGTTTAAATCAACTGCACAAAGCTAAAGCAATCTTGTACAACAAAAACAAAGCCGGAGGCATCACAATACCAGACTTCAGGACATACTACAGGGCAGTTGTAATCAAAACAGCATGGTACTGGTACAGAAACAGATGGATAGACCAATGGAACAGAATTGAAACACCAGAAATCAACCCAAACATCTACAGCCAACTTATATTTGATCAAGGATCTAAAACTAATTCCTGGAGCAAGGACAGTCTATTCAATAAATGGTGCTGGGAAAACTGGATTTCCACGTGCAGAATCATGAAGCAAGACCCCTACCTTACACCTTACACAAAAATCCACTCAACGTGGATTAAAGACCTAAATCTTCGTCCTGACACCATTAAGTTATTAGAGAACATTGGAGAAACCCTTCAAGATATTGGCACAGGCAAAGAATTTCTGGAAAAGACCCGGGAGGCACAAACAGTCAAAGCCAAAATCAACTATTGGGATTGCATCAAATTGAGAAGTTTCTGTACTGCAAAAGAAACAGTCAGGAGAGTGAAGAGACAACCGACAGAATGGGAAAAAATATTTGCAAACTATGCAACAGATAAAGGGTTAATAACCAGAATCTACAAAGAGATCAAGAAACTCCACAAAAACAAAACCAACAACCCACTTAAGAGATGGGCCAAGGACTTCAATAGACATTTTTCAAAAGAGGAAATCCAAATGGCCAACAGGCACATGAAAAAATGTTCAAGGTCACTAGCAATCAGGGAAATGCAAATCAAAACCACAATGAGGTTTCACCTCACCCCGGTTAGAATGGCTCACATACAGAAATCTACCAACAACAGATGCTGGCGAGGATGTGGGGAAAAAGGGACACTAACCCACTGTTGGTGGGAATGCAAACTGGTCAAGCCACTATGGAAATCAGTCTGGAGATTCCTCAGAAACCTGAATATAACCCTACCATTCGACCCAGCCATCCCACTCCTTGGAATTTACCCAAAGGAGTTTAAATTGATAAACAAAAAAGCGGTCTGCACCCTAATGTTTATTGCAGCACAATTCACAATAGCCAAGACCTGGAACCAACCTAAATGCCCATCAACGGTAGACTGGATAAAGAAATTATGGGATATGTATTCTTTAGAGTACTATACCGCAGTAAGAAACAACAAAATCCAGTCATTTGCAACAAAATGGAGGAATCTGGAACACATCATGCTGAGTGAAGTAAGCCAGTCCCAAAGGGACAAATACCATATGTTCTCCCTGATCGGTGACAACTGACTCAACACCAAAAAGGAAACCTCCTGAAGTGAAATGGACACTATGAGAAATGGTGACTTGATCAGCATAGCTCTGACTGCTAATGGACAACTTAATACATTATCCCTCATAGTATTTTTTTTTGTCTGTTCTACTTAATATGACTGGTTTAATTCTGTAATTATCACACAGTTATTCTTAAGTGTTGAAAATTAACTGCAATGTGATCCCTGTTAAACATAAGAGTGGGAATAAGAGAGGGAAGAGATGTATAATTTGGGACATGCTTGGGCTGACTTGCCCCAATTGGTAGAGTTGGAAACATACCAGGGGATTCCAATTCAATCCCATCAAGGTGGCATGTGCCAATGCCATCTCACTACTCCAAGTGATCAATTTCAGTTCACAATTGATCATAATGAAAGGACTAAGAGTAAAAGGGAGCACATAAACAAGCCTAGTATCTGCTAACACCAACCGATAGAATAAATAAAGGGGAGAGTGATCCAACATGAGAAGTGAGATGCTCAGCAGACTCATAGAATGGCGGATGTCCTAAATAGCACTCTGGCCTCAGAATCAGCCCTAAAGGCACTCGGATCTGGCTGAAAAGCCCATGAGAGTATTTCAGGCATGGAAAGCCAAGACACTCTGGCAAAAAGATCTCTGTGAGTGAGATCCCAGTGGAAAGAACAGGTCTTCAAAGAGGGAGGTGCCTTTCTCTGAAGGGAGGAGAGAACCTCCACTTTGACTATGACCGTGTCTAAACAAGATAAGAGTCGGAGAACTCAAGGGGCTTCCATAGCCTTGGAAACTCATAACTGGTGCATAGGGAGATTACTGATGCCATAAACAGGAGTGTCAATTGGTAAAGTCAACAACAGGAGTCACTGTGCACTTACTCCTCATGTAGGATCTCTGTCCTTAACGTGCTGTACACTGAGGCTTAATGCTATAACGAGTACTCAAACAGTATATTTCACTTTGTGTTTCTATGGGGGTGCAAACGACTGAAATCTTTACTTAATGTACACTAAACTGATCTTCTGTAAAAAAATAAAAAAATAAAAAAAAAT